TTAACTGGTGGGGAAAAGTGTTCAGCCCCGGCTTTGTGTGGGTTAGAATAGCCCTTCTTTGGGTACAGGGAGCCTTGAAGCAGACTAGCCGGTTTGTGGAGCTGGACTGTCCGTCTGAGTGCAGTCGCGCCTAGGCACAGCTTGCCCTGGGGCATGCCAAGGCCTCCTGAGAAATAGGCTCCCCCCCCCGCCCCGAGGGGCTGCCCCACAGCACAGGGGAGGAGGCAGCAGTAGAACTGCTTTCCTCGGCCCATGAATCTTTTCCGCCTTCAGTCTGCATGGACAGCAACCTTATTTGCTGGTTGGAGAGCTGGTCCTGCAAGCATCACTTGCCAGCAAGCATTAAAATTAATTAAAATCCAATATATTTTAAAATCCCCAACCCCCAAAGTACATACCTTAATATCTTAAAAACATAGAAACCTCCCAGGCTATCTAGTCTGATCCTCAGCTCCAGCCAGCTCTGCTCACGACATGCCTACCATGTGCATGTCCAGCCTATCCTTAAACATCCTCACTGATGGGGCCTCAACGACCTCCCGTGGAAGCCCTTTCCATACCCTTGGGGTCCTAACCATCAGGAAGTACTTCCTGGCATCCACACTAAATCTTGGTTCCCTGAGCTTTGCTCCATTGGAGCGCATCCTGCCTTCCTCTGCAGGGGAGAACAGGTCTTGACCCACCTCTGTGGGACACCCCCTCACATACCTATATGTCGCCAACAGATCCCCTCAGAGTCTCCTCCTCTCGAGGCTGAAGAGACCCAGCTCCCTCAGGCTCTCCTCAGGTGGCTTTCCTTGCAAACCAGCCACCATCCTCGTGGCCCTTCGCTGCACCGATTCCAACCTGGCTATATCCCTCTTGTAATGAGGAGCCCAGAACTGAACACAATAATCCAGCTGCAGATGCACCAGAGTCGTACAAAATGGTACGACTCTGTGGTATGCTTTTGCCCCTCTAAGCATTCGCCCTCTTGACCGCCGTGTCACACGGCTGACTCATGTTTAGTCTGTGGTCAACCAGTACCTGGAGATCCCTTTCACAAGTGCTGCTCTCCAGCCACTGGTCCCCTAACCTGTCCCGTAATCTTCTTCGGAGATCAGTTGTTCAGGGGTCTAGGTTTCATGGTCTTGGAGCTTTGGAGCTGATGGACAGACAGACAGAGATCAGCTCTTTTATTGTTGTAGCTTTGTGCATGGACTGTGAGTGCAACAGAAGAAACCATGAAGAATTGTGCATGCAAGTGAATTATAAATTAAGGTTCCCCAAGATTCTTTGCCCCTTTTTAATAGTAGATAATTTTCTTTTTTGAGTGTATATGTTAAGGTTATATTTGCAATGTTTATAGTTCTGAGAAAATACAATCCACATCCCCCTTGCGTGTTTTGTTCAAAATTACTAAGACCCAGTTGCTTCGTCTTAATGACCTTTGGAATGGCACCAGCACTTTTCACAGGGCTTAATACTAACAACCTGATGAGCTGGGAATCTTTGGGGGAAAACATTCCGTTGACACGCAGAGCTGGGACTGGATTGGTGTAAAATGGAGCCAGCCCCGTGCCTTCGGGACGTAAGAAAAGCCCTGCTGGATCAGACCAAGGGCCAGCATTTTGTTCACATGGTGGCAGGATCTCTCCAGCAGGACGTGAGTGTGGCAGCCCCCTCCTGACCAAATTTCCCCGCAGCTGGTATACGTAGGGACACAGGACCAGTGGTTGTCGCTTCCTTCTCCGTGAACTTGTCCAGTCCTCTTGCGAAGCCATCCAGATGGGCGGCCACCACCACTGCTTGCGGCAGCGAATTCCATAGTTTAACCACGGGCTGTGTGCAGAAGCCCTTCCTTTATCTGTCCTAAACCTCCCACCAATCGGTGGCCCCAGGTCTGAGTGTTATGCAGAGGGAGAAAATGTCTCCCTCTTTACCTCTCTGTCCTGTCTCCCCGTCCTCGCCTTTTCCTAAGCTGAAGTGTCCCAGCTCTCGTAGCTGCTGTTCATGGGAGAGCTCTCCTAGCCCCGTTCTCTATACCTGTCCTAACTCAATATTGTCCTTTTTCAGGTAGGACGACCATACCTGAACACAATATTTGAAGTGTGGTTGCAGCAAAGATTTGCATAAGGAGAGTATGATCTGGGCCCTTTCATGTTAAATTCCTTTCCAAGGCTACTTGCTGTCCAACGCTGCTCTTTTATTTGTTACTTTGAACTTTGTAAGCGTCCTTGTAAGGAAAAGGGGCAAGAGATAAATTGAGAAATAAATAAGGGGGTGGCTTGTTGGTTTCTAGATATGCAAATGGAGCTGAAGCGAGGGATTGGCAGGAGAGGCTGCCATGAGGGAGCTCTCCGTGGTGCTGAAGCCTATCCCATCATAGGTTGAGCCTATGAATATCTCCTCAAATCTTTGCAGCAAAATTTGGAGTGGATACACAGCCCCGCTGATGGGGGATTGTTGTAATGGCTGCCGAGGTCAAAAAGGAATCCTTGGCTTTCTAAAGCAGGCAAAGAATTGCTATTCCTCTGTGCAGTTGCTAGAAAGAAAGAGTTTGGCAAGGCGGAAGGTGCTGGAGTTCCCCAGAAGAGCCTTAATGCGTCCTTGCACCCTTTAAGCAAAACTGGTTTTGCGGAGAGGGGAAGAAGCAAGCAGCAGCTCTTTCAGATCTGTGGGACCTTGTTCTGTAAACCCTGCTAAATGGTGCCAAGGTGGAAGCTAAATGCGGCACTTGAACCTGCAAACTTCTACAGAAATGTCATCTTGAAATTGGCTTGCATTATTCACCGTGGTGCACAAAGGCCCCTGGACTGTGAGTGATTTCAGTTGTAGGAAACTGTCCTTGAATGTCAGTAACACATGCAAGGCATTGACATGTTGATGTCGCCAGATGGGACTCCAGAAATAAATGGACTTGCTGTTCTTTCCTTTTCTAAGGCGCAACATTTTCTCGGAAGGAAATGCAGCAAATGTTTTACAATACAAAGCGAAATATCTATAAAGGCTTTGCGCAAACCGGTGATTGATGGATAGATATAATTACAGGATTCAGCAGGAAAACTGATTACTCTGACCTGGGGTTAATGAGCTTATTCTAAACTCATTCTTTATAGCAGTTGGCATCAAAAATACCTTGCAAAATCGCTTAAACACTCTAGTTATTTCGAGAAAGTAATGCATTTGTATGACTGAGGGTAGAAAAGGGAATCCGTGTGTGACTTCTTTGCACCGATCCAATTCTTACGATCTTGCTAGCCTGCTTGTGGAGACTAAGATCTGTGACATGCAGGTGAGGTAAATACTGGAATGCCTGCATGATACAATGAGGTTGAATTTCTAGCCCAAAAGGTAAGGCTTCTTATTTTGTGGAAGAACACAAAAATGCAGAATGTTCTATTAGGTCTTGAAGATTTTCCTTATTAGTTTCAAAACTAAGTTTCTCTTTGTAAACATCTTGCTTTTCCAGTCCTTCAAAAACTATTCAAGGCAGCTTGCAATAAAGACAAAACAATCATAACAATTAAAAACTCCTAGAAATGTACCCATATACTGAAGGAGAGCATCAGTACTATTGCATAAACCTCTGCAAGATAGATAAACTTCCTGATAAAAATACTATTGGTGTTAATTGGATGCTTGGTAGAACAGGGCTAAGTCAGCCTGGTACCTGCATGGTAGTAATGAAGGCATTCAGGTGTAGCTTTCTGGGGAGGAAATTGCAGAGTTGGGGTACCACTGCAGGGAGACCCTTGATCTACTATACCTTCAGAAGCCAGGCAGGGGTGTTAGAAGATGATCTTAATTGTGGACTGGGTTCATATGATGGATCTGACTGAAAATGGGAAAATCTGTTTACAGAGTGGGCCAGTTTGCTGGAAGCAGCAGCTGATTATGGGTTAATCACTTGAGAACAAATCATAGGTTAACTTTGGGTTGTTTAACCCACAAACAACCCAGAGTGTCCAGGTCAGTGTCATGCTAAGAACCTGAGAATGGGCCATTTGCATCCTGGAAATGGGCAAATCGTGGATGAATTAGTTAACCCTCAGATGCTTCCATGACATATAAATTGGGTCAGTATGGGCAACATCAGCTGAAAGAAAAGCCAAACATTAATGACTGAATATAAATCGTGGGGGTTGGCAGGGCATCAGCACCTTGCATAGAACTTTGGCCTGCCTCCTGACAAGCAAAAGCAGAATAAATTATGCAAAATAAAATGTAGTATGCAAATAGGTCAGATTTGCCTATTCCATGGAGACAGGCAAATGCAGCAGTTCTTGGTGCAAGATCCAGGTTGCTTGGAGGCAGAATGTTAATTTGCTTTGCTGCAGATGAATATACTAACTGTCCTAATGAGTTGGATGGGGAGATTTTACTAGACTGCACAGTTACACTGGTGCTTAGAAATGTAGGCCAAGTCTCCATACATTTCAGCATAGGAGCAATATTAAAAAGGAAAAGACAAAAGACAGAGAGTGTCTCTTCCAAAACGACTCCAGTCCAAATTTCAGCTTGAGAACCAAGTGCCATGTTTGAGAAGTTTTGGGGCCTGCATTCGCATGGTGGGAAGCCCAAAATTAAGAACATGGGCAGCGTATTCGTGCCTGGAGCTCTTGCTGCCTGCAACTATGTCTTAAGAAATGTTGTAGACATTCATGTTAATGTTTTAGAATGGTGGGAATTCTGGATGAAAGCCAGGAAATCATTAAATGATCAGTGGCTGGGGAAAGGGGGACGTAGCCACGCCAGATTTAGCTTGTGCTGTTTAGCGGTGCGCTTCCTCCATGCCCGCAATGGACCACTTTTCCCCTGTAAAAAGCCCTCATGTGCAGTGGAATCAAAAGGGAAGCACTTTCCCACAACAGGGCAGAAACTGAGAAATGCAGCTGGCTACCAGAAACGCTGTTTAGCTCCCGAGAGCAGCCAAAACATCTGGCCCCGTGCTTTTGACGCACATCTGCTCTTACTGGCACATTGCGTCTTAGGAGTGTTTTCTCTTCTTGCCACCACAGAACTGCCTGAGGAGAAGGGATGCTGGCTTACTAAACCAGCTGCAAGAACTGGACAAGCAGATAAGCGATCTGAGGCTGGACGTGGAGAAAACGGCAGAGGAGCATCTCGAGACAGACAGCCGCCCCAGCTCAGGTGAGCACTTCCTGTGGCCGAGCCAGGACTGCAGGAATCCCTTGGCAGCTCTGGAACACTTTGGCCCAGCGCGCCTGAATCTTGCAACCCGTACGCCTTGGGCTGCGGATAGTCAGAGTCAGCCGAACATGATGGTGTAACGCATGCACACTGGACTGATGGCACCATGTGGCTGCTGCCGCCCATCTGCAGACGAGAAAAGAGCTGTGCAGAAGCTGCAGCAGATCAGGCTCTGGGGCCATCGGACGCGAGTTGTTGCCACTGCTGACCTCAGAATCCGTCTGGATTCAGATCTGTTTCCTGTGCCGCTTTCTTAAAGCAGGCTTATGCTTACTGTGGAAGCCACACTCGGCCTGTGCCGGCCTTCGCTGCTGAAATTGGCTGCCGATTCTGCTTTGGGCCTCTTTGCACCCGAACGGGGGAACACTCCCTGGCATTCCCCTCCCTCAAACTCGCTTTTCCTGCCCAAAGGGAAATGGGAATGACTGCCCCAGCTCTGTTCTCTTCTGCTCCCTCCGCTTAAAGGCTGGCTCCTTTCCCCCTGCCTTTGCCTCCTCAGCTGCAGCTAAGGTCAGTGGCTGCCAGGGAAACGGGAAGGCTCAAAAGCAATGCAGTGATGTTCGCGTTGGCAAGCGAACTTAAGTGCTGCTGCAGAGATGTGGGTCTCTGCCAAGAGTATGTGGTTTGGGCTGGAAGGACTGGAGATGGATGTAGCTCCCAGGTCTCACTCTCTGTAGATGTGACCTCCCAGTAATACGATAAGGTAACACAGGATAATGTTCCATCAGTCACTTTCCCTTCATTCCTTCTCATTTTTAAAAGCTTAAACGGGATTCTAGACACTCGCCCGGACTGTTAGATTCTTCCTCTTCTCCCAAACTCAGCGCATTTTAAGCATTTCAGAGTTTCACATATAAGGGGGGGGGGGGCTCACCGGTGTTTCTGCTTGTTTCAAGTTGCCCCCAGAAAATCTGCATCACACAAACATTGTGTCCCACTGGTGGCATGAAACGGGTGCTACTGGCCCCTTTCGGCAGAAACTTGCTGCTGGATGCCAGTGGGTGTCGCCCTGTGGTCACCAGTAGAGGAAATATTTAAGATCAGTTTTATGGGGTGCAGAAGTTGGAAGACATTCCAGCAGGGTCTGGTTTGGTCTTCCATTTGTTTATTTGATTTTTAGGCTTGCGTCGTACCCAACTGGCTACTGTCCTCGGGTTGCAGTTCACAACCTTAAACCTTCTAGTTGGGTGGCATCAGGCAATGAGGGTGCTCGGAGGTGAACCCTCTGGAAGTGCTTTCCTTGGGAAAGGCTGATCCTGTTGGAGCTGCCTGCTTGGTGGCATCAATAACTGGCAGCCGCTTGGGGTGTGCCATGGAAAAGTAGCTCTCCCGTGGCAGGAGGTTCGTGTCTGCGTTGCTGATGCCACATGTGACCTGAAGTGAGAAGCATCATTTAGTTCCTTTTCCAAACATCGGCACAGCATTTGTCCGATCCTTTGTACCTCATGCCTGCTGGTGGGATCAAGGTGAGATCTTGTCATTCCAACTAGATTGGAAACAACTTTGGTCCCAAAAGTCCTTCTGAGATACCTCTACAAAGGGGAATCTTGCACATGCACCAGATAACAGCTGTGTTTGGGCTTAATGATCAACCACGGTTTATTGTGTCAGGACCAGTACTTGGTCCCCTGCTTGCGTGGTCTCATTTCCTTTGGTGCAAATGAAAAAGGAGATCGAAAGTGTTGACTTCTGATATCTGATTATTTTAATGTTACATCCAAACTCTAAACTGGTTACTTGTAAGCTCCCCACTGTGGCCCACCTGGTGCCAAACTGGTTGTCTTTTTGGTGCCTGGCTAATGTGGTCCTTTAACGATGCCAAGGCCTTTAACGATGTATCTGGCTACCCTTAGGCTGGGGGGATTGTCCATCCCAAGTTTTTTAGAAGGTCCATCCTTTGCCGCTTGTTTTAGCTGTTTCAATCCTTAAATGCTTCTTTGATTATATTATGTTTTTGTTGCATTTTATTGTCTTGTTTTATGGATTGTGGCAAACCAAACAAAGAGCTTTTGCTGTGTGACTGAATAGAAATGAAATAAATAAGAAATTATAACTACACACACTGGCTTCAAAATCCAGTATTTGAAATTGGCTTGTTTCAAACAAACCTACTTAAGATAAACCACAGTTTGTTGGGTTCAGATGACACAACAAACTGCACTTAATTGAATATAGAAGGAAATACATTCAACCTCCTCATCACTGCAGTGTGAGAGGACAGTGTGAGCCCAAGGCTCATTTAGGCTCACAATTCTGAGATGCAGCTGTTGTTACCATGCCTGCTGAATATGCACCAAAGGGTTGATATCTGTAATTTGACACCCGATGCTATTTGATTTTCAGTATTTGACATGGCAGTTGATATTTGACAGTAATTTGATGGTTAAACACGCAGTGGCTCAGCTTACTGGAAAGTTGGCATGCTGTGATATTTAGCATTTGTCAGTTGGTTTGCTGCTGAGATCTCAGATTCTGAAGCCTGCCAAAATTTTAAAAAAGGATCAAGATGTTCCAACAAGTTTAAAGCACTAGCATTTTCAGATTTCAAGGTGGAGTGTTGCACTGGCAATGTGTTTAAAAAACCAAATTGGCCTGAAAATAGGAATGCAGCTACATGACACTGGCAAATATTTCAGAGATCGCCCAGGATTCATGGGGGTTTTGCTGGCAAGCCAGATCTTATATCCATGAAGCTGGACTACCCGGGGCTTAGGGTCACCTTCAAAGAGCCAAATCATATGTACCAATGGCAAACTTGGGGTTCGGAGCATGACGGCTGTGCAGCCAAAACAGAAGCCACTGATTAACTAGCAGAAAGGTACCAGCTCGGTTGGTGGGAACCCCAAAGTCTGGAGAGTAGGAAGACTCAGGGTGGGAGGAAATTCCGAGGGGCAGCATCTCCCCACCAAAAAACAAACACCCCCCCCCCCCCGTTTGTTGAGGACCGAGTGCTCCCAGTGGCAAAGCTGTTGTCAGCGGCTGGTGTGGTTGTGTGCCTGGCCAGGAAGCGATATGCCGGCCTGCTTATGTGCTGGGGGGCCACGGAGGGACAGAATGAGGAGCAAGAGCAGCTGGTGACCTGCAAGGGGGTGAGGCTGAAACCCCGAATTAGCACACTCCGTGCTGCAGCATTTTGCTGCAGGCTGGCCTTGCTCGGCTTCCACCCCTTTCGATCTGTGTGTCTTGCATCAGTTAGTCACTTTGCACCCTGTTTCCACACTTCCCGGTCGCTGAAGCTCCGCGTTGCAGCCTGAAGTACATAAATGCATTTCCCTGTTCCCTGCAGGATTTTACGAGCTGAGTGATGGGGCCTCTGGCTCTCTTTCCAACTCGTCCAACTCTGTCTTCAGCGAGTGCCTATCCACTTGCCACTCCAGCACTTGCTTCTGCGGCCCCTTGGACACCTCCCTGAGCGGCTCCGACGGACGGCCCAAGTCGGCAGGTACGGCAAGAGTGCGGAAGGCCCTGGAGCTGCCGAGTTAACGGAGGCGATTCCCTGCGGTGTGGGACAGTGCCCCAGGGACTTTGCTTAGCAGCGGCTAGCGACGTGTGAGGAATCCCGTCTGGGGGTGGGAATCGGCCAGGTTTCCTTGGTTCAGCCCCCGGGCTCTGCCCACTTCCTGTCTTTTCTAAGCCCGCCTTGTGCTGAGCGTTCCCTTGGGTGTCCAGCGGGAAGCGAGTCCTTGGGCCGGTTTAGGCCCGTGCTGTCCGCGCACAAGTGGGCTTCTGCTCCCACACACACAACTTGCATGCTTCACGCAAATGATTGCGCACTGGTGTGCTTCGTGCAAACAGTGATGCGCTCTTTCTGCAAAGAAGTTGCTGCCCTTCCTGCGGGTTTCCAGGCTCGATGTTGACGCAGCGCTCTTCCTGGCCAGGGTGCGCGAGGGAAGGAAGTCCAGCAAGCCCAGGAGGGCCGGATTCTGGCCTGAGCACTGCATCCCTGGGCAGGCCGGATGGCCCTGGCACCCCCCCAGGCATTCCCCGCTCCTTCTGAGCTTAGTCGCCGTCTTTGCAGCTGGCAGCAAAGGAGCCTGGCCCAGCTGCGGTGTATCGGTGTGACTGTAATGCAATTAATTTTTGTTGGCTTGGCCTTGAACATGCCTTCTGGGCCCATTCACTTTAGTGAGCAGCTGCTCCTGACGGAGAGGAAAGCTAGAATTGGTTTGTCGATCTGGACAAATTTTGGGCCTGCCCAGGGAGGGTGACTCTGGGCACCTGCGCTCCAGAAGTGCCCCCTGCACCATGCTTCTTAGCAGTGCGCTCATGAGCTTTCCCCCTGTGGTGCGGGGGTGCCAGAATGCTTGTGCTTTCCACCTGCCACGCTCTGTGGTGCATTCAATAAGCTTAGCATGTATTTATGGCCTTTTGTAACACTGAAGCTCTGGTTACACTGGGCAAGGCCCACTCCCTGATCAGGCATGTACCTGTTTGCGGTTTGGAGGGGGTTACACCTGTGTGAAGCATCAGGGCAACCTCCCACTGGTTCGTTGACCATTCTGGGAAGCTGGTGAGGCTCTCAGTTTTTCGCCTTTCACTGGTCTGTCTCCAGCTGAGTCCTCGAACCATATGTATTTCTTAAAAGGTACAATAACTTTTGGAGAGAGACCTGCAATTCCAGGCCTGGGTTGATTGGTCTGGAATCTTGGGAGAGCCTCATGGTAGGCCAGGGGATGCTGAGATGAGCATCTGGAGAACGTCAGGTTGGGGAAAGCTGAACTATGGAATGCTTGGTAGGACCTGTGCCTTCCAGCCAGCCAGCCAAAGCAGATTCTGGAGTTCAGGCGGAGATGAGACTCCTCGCTGGCTGCTTGGTCCTTTCAATGGGAGACTGCACTCAGACGGAAGTTGCGCTCTTCCAAAGGGAAGGCAACGTGATCACTCCCAGTCTGAGAGGCTGGGTGAAGTTTAGTTGTAGTTTCGTCTGAAAAGATTTACCGGGAAAAGGAGTTGCAGTCATTAATGATCTCTTTGGCAGAGACGCCCCATGGTGGGTGCCAAACTGAGTCGGTGCCGCTTTGGTTGTTGCTGGTGTGGCTGTTTGGGCACTTCGACAGGCAACGGCCGCTTCTGCTGATGGCACTGAGCCAGGTGATGCCGGTCGTGCCTCCAGGTGGGCTAGAAGCACCATCCTGCCGATTAGAACCTGGACGGATCGCGCCCGAGAGACGTGGCACCAGCTTACTGCCCCCTGCAGGAAGTTATCCGCGTGGGCATGGGTTCCACACTGCTTGGGGTCATCCAGGTGGACACATTTTTTAATAAAAATGTGGGGCCCCTGCTGGTTCCTGGACTTCCTCACCTGGATTCTGGAAATTTACGTTGCCTAAACAGCACACCCATATCCTCCAAATGAGAATTCAGTGGGATAGGAAGTCCTTTTGGGCAAGCTGAAAGCCTGAAACCAAAGCCTGCCAATGCCATCTTTCGAATTCTGGTGGAAATGTTAAAGTTATCAGTTCAAGACATCACTGAAACCCAAACAGAGGAAAAGGACCCTGCTTTGAAAAGGGGCAAAGCCGTGATGTTACACAGGGGCATGGTGTGGGGGGGTGGAGGATGGGTTCCTGATGCTTAATTTAAAGCTTTTGCACCTGCATAGGTAGAGAGGTTGGGCACCCTAAAATCCAAAATCTATAGGAAATTGCACCCATGACTTATTTTCTGCTTCGGTTTTAGAAAACAGAACTTTGCCTTGATTTTCAAAAGCGTAAACTTCCTACTATTGTCATAGGCGTTGCAATTTTATAATGCATGGAGAATTTCTTTATTTATTTCTTCCCCTCCCCCCTCCCTCCCTCCACCCACATTTCAGATCTCATCGGCTGGCTGGAATATAACAAAGGAAGCCAGCGTGAAGACCAGGGGACCGGGATGGTCCCTGACTCGCCCTCGACGCCGCACTCAAATTCCCTCGACATCGTTGTGGATGTGCACCCCAAATTTCAGTGTGACCTGGTGTCCAAAAATGGGAACGACATCTACCGCTACCCCAGCCCCTTACATGCCGTCGCGGTCCAGAGCCCCATGTTCTTCCTGCCCGTGACCAGCAGCCCAGCAAGAGAAGAGGAAGAGCGAGCGGATGGGCGTGTTGTCGAAGTTTCTGTGGGCCCTGAGCTTGCCTTGGTGAAAGCGGGGCCCCCCTGCCTGCCACACGGCCTCCGTTCTTCCCCCTGCTTCCCGGCCAACAAAAAAATGGACGGCTACATCTTGAGCCTGGTGCAGAAAAAGACTGTTTCCGTTAGGACTAACAAGCCAAGGACGAATCTGAACGCAGACCCTGCCAAGGGGATTTTGAGACACGGGAGCCTGTGTGTTCGGCAGGTAGCTGGCGTTGTCTCCAGCAATGCCACCAGTCTTAAGAATTCGAGTCAGGCTTTTCCACATCCCGGTGGAACCCCTGTCGTCCTGGAAAACGGTGCCTTCTCCCCCTTAAAACAGCTCTCGAGAGAAGCGGAGCCCCTGGATACCAAAAAGATGCCTTTGCCCACAGTCTTTTCACCAAATGCAAGCCACGAACTTCAAAGCAAACACGTGCCAAGGAATGCGAAACCCCCAGAGGCAACGCATGGCCCTGCGGCGAGCAAGGGTGACGTGCCCAAGGAAAGCGGCCAGACCTTTTTGCCGTGTCCGAAGGAAAGCCCTTGCAGGCACGCGACACCCTCGAAGGAAAACAAAGCCATCCAGCTGCCCAAAAAGATGCTGTTTAAGAACACGGGGGTGGCGCAGGTGCCCCCGCACGGCCTGGAGGAGGGGCTGCTGGTGAATGCCCAGTACATCCCAGCGCAGCCGCAGACACTTCGACTCCACAAAGGCAGCCGTGGCGTCAAAATTCTCAAGAGCTCCATGGCCAAGCACAGGCCCCACCTGGGCACGGTGCTCGAGAACGGGCCCCAGGCCGGGCGGGAGAAAGGCAAACCCCCAGGCAAGAAGTGCCGGTTCCCGGATGACCTGGACACAAGCAAGAAGCTGAAGAAGACCGCCTCGAGGGGGAAGAAGAGCAGCCACCTGCCGCTGGAGGCCAACCTCGCGAGCCGGCCGCCAGGCGCGCCGAAAGCCGCAGCGAGGCCCCACGGCCGAGAGCCGGTGGTCGCCAAGCCCAAGCACAAGCGGGCCGACTACCGGCGCTGGAAGCTGTCGGCGGAGGCGTCTTACGAGGAAGCCCTCCGGAGGGCGAGGAGGAACCGTAGAGAAGCCACGGGGGTTTATTCCCAGGCGGCCCGGCCTTTCGGCAGCCCGTACGCCTACGTGGCCAGTGACTCCGAGTACTCGGCAGAGTGCGAGTCGCTTTTCCACTCCACCGTGGTGGACACGAGCGAAGACGAGAGGAGCAACTATACCACCAACTGCTTTGGGGACAGCGAGTCCAGCCTGAGCGGGGTGGAGTTTGTGGGGGAGAGCACGACCACCAGCGACTCGGACGAGAGCGGGGGGCTCATTTGGTCCCAGTTCGTCCAGACGCTTCCCATCCAGGCAGTGGCCACGGCTTCCGAGCTCCATGAAAACGCAGCCAAAGCCTTCGTGAAGATTAAAGCTTCCCACAACCTGAAGAAGAAAATCCTGCGCTTTCGGTCCGGGTCTCTCAAACTGATGACTACTGTCTAAGTACATTCTGCTCGAACTACAGTGTGGATGACTCGTAGCAGTAATAATAATAGTGATAACACTCATGCCCACTCGGGGAGCAGGTGTGCGCACGTGCATGCGTTTGTGTAAGGTCTTGGCGGGTCTTGCTCACACTTGTTCGCGCAAGGCGTTCCAGCTCCCGGATCTGGTCCCCCAGAAAAGACCTGCTGAGTGTTGGGACGGTGATGCGGGGGGGGGGGGGGGTTGAGCTTGCCTGTCTGTGCTGCCCCCCTTATGAAAATGGACCCTCCCTGGCTAATATTCGTCATGGAAGGGCAGCTCCCAGAAACAGCAGTGGGAGACTTCCCTCCATGCCAAGCGACACCATGGGATTCTTATGGGGATAGTTTTATTGGGGCGTTTTAATGAGGGTCATGGTACAAGAGGGATGGGCTAAACATGGGGCATCCAATCTAGTTCGGGGTGGGGGCAATCCAGCCCTAGTGAGGACCCAGTTGGGGTTTCCATGCCCCTATCTCATATTCTTTCCCCCAGTCACTTCCCATGTGATGGGCTCTTGGATTTTGTGCAGTTTCCTACATGCCAAAAGGATGAAGTACCACTCCGAAGGTTTCGGGGCTGCCTGTGGGAACAGACTGGCTGGTATTTTGGGCCACGTTTGTCCTTGGCTGCTCTGCCCTGCTCCCCGCGACCGCCAAACATTTCTTCAAAGTGGAATCTCCCGTGGGCTGAAAGAGATTCTCTGCCTCTGGGCTGGAAAACACCCTTCCTCGCTTGCTGGGCTCTTGACGAGGGTTGCGAGGAAGCTGTGCAGCATCCACCACCCTTGTCTGTGCGGGTTCCTCTCATGGTCGGCCCTGCCTTCGAAAGCGAGCCGAGCTGGGAGGGATCCCTCACAGGCTGGTGGAATGAAGGTTGCACAGCCGGAAGCTTTTTCCTGCATCGCAAGCCACATCTTGCCCAGCAGAAACGACATGGGAGAGATGCGGGTTGTGTGGTGCTTTATTTCTTGTCCGTTGGGCTTGCGTGCCGGGAAGTGGGACTTACAGAGTGGCCACAGAGTGCGGGAAGGTGGCCACAGAGCGCGATGGAGTCCAGCAACCCGAGCCCAGCAAATCTGGCAGAATCCTGTCCCATAATGGATTCCTCGCACAAACCCGGTCTTGACCTTGGTCCAGAAAGAGAAAAGGGTGCATCCCCGGCTGTTGCGCCCAACAGAATGTGCAGTTGGTCCCTGGCAAAAGTTCAGCAAAAGAACCCAGGATAAGAGCCCCGGCGGCAGTGCTTGTGCCCAGCCGGAGTGTGGGCTGCACCTGCCAATTGTGAATCTGATGCACCCCACGCCACACCCCCTGTTTAAAAAGCGTGTTGAAAATTGCACATGGAGAGACTCTCTTCCGGTTCACAGATGCGTTCTTGTTGGTTCGCCTGAAGGCCGTAGCCACAAGCAGCTCTTTTCAAGCCCGGGGTTGCAGAGAAAAATGACCCCCAGGCATTGCTCTATGCAGAACCTTGTCTGGGCTTCTGGCGCTGCTGTTCTCCCTCCCGGATGTGCGCATACATGCCAAGAGAAAGCCCTCCTGCAGGCAAGCGCACAGCCCCATACTTAACAAATCAAGGTGCTTCTTGTAAATATTCTTCCCAGGATGCTGTTGTGGTGGGTTGTTGTGGGGGAGGGTCTTTTTTAAAATACACATATTTAAATTTTAACGGACTGCTTAAACGATGTCACTAGAACCTCCAAATGTTTGATACGAGTGCCTTTTAAGTGGCAAAGCAAAGACCGCGGGAGTAGTTGTAAGACAGGAACCTGACCGCCACTTCTCAGCTGAGAGCATCAAGGGCACAGAAGCAGAAGAAACCTGGCGCAGGGTGCTTGCTTTTCTCTTCTTTGGCCAGGGGTGGATTCAAGGACATCCCGACCCCTTGTCGGTCTTTACTACGCATCCTCTGCTTTGCACAGAAAAGCCTTTCTCTGCCTCCCCTTTGGAGAAAGAGGCAGAAACGATCTGTGTTTACACCCGGAGACAAAGAGACCAGGGGATGGTTCGAATGGGGTGATGTGATCTCAGTCCACCGACTCGTTTTACACGTCTAACGTTCAGTTTAGCCTGTTTTTACAGAGCCAACCTGACTAAGAACACAAAACAGAAAAGAGGCTTCATGTCAGTGTAAAATCTGGCTAGATAATAGCAAAGCAAGCAATAATTTTAACAAACCATCAGCAGCTAAGTTATATAATGAAATGATTAAAGGGATAATCCTGTTCAAGTGTAGGAAGAAAAAAGGCCTACAAACCAAGGACTTGCACCCTAAATTAGCTCAATCGGTGTTGTCAGGATAAAAAATACCAAATGTTTCCTCTTCCCTACAGCTAATTTAACTAGTGCAGCAGTCCCATAATAACCTGTTCCAGCAAGAGGTCTTTTACGGGATCTCCAAGAAGCTGCCCTGCACCAAGGCTGGTGTATTTGCCCATCCAATTCAGCACTGATCATAACATCCTATAGTTGGAAGGGGCCTAGCAGGCCGTTGGGTCCAACCCGCTGCTTAATGCAGGACTAAAGTCTCCCATCCAGATTCTTTGCAGGCCTGACCTGGCTTACCTGCCCAGATTAGGCAGAACAAGGTACTTCAGGTTACGCAGAAGCTATAGTCTCTTTCCCAGTCGGTGTGAGGAAGGTGTCTGGCATTGTCCAGATGCTGGGCACCCACCAGCCCCAGCTAGCATGGAGAAGGTGATGGGGGACTCCAGCCCTGGGCACCGGTCCACCGACCGCCTCGCCTCTGGTCTGCTCACCGGCAGTGGCTTCTGGGGTGATGAGGAGGAGCAGCTGTTCCAGCAGTGGTGCCGGCACTCGAAGATGGGTGAGAGCCGAAAAGCTCCGTGTTTGGTTGTCTGGCTAGCAGTCACTCTCTGCTCAGGCCAGGTGTAGTGCCAGGTCCCAAAATGATCTGTGGCTCAGGCCCCTGGGAAAAAAACCATGCAGAAGTTTGGTAATTTGCCTGTGCGCTAATTGTTCTCTGTCTTCAAAAGACCCTGCCTCCTAAGGACAGCCCTATTTGTGAAAAGGGGTGTATGGACCAGGGAGGGGGCGGCCCCTCATTTCAGAAGCAAAATACCTGAAAGAAAGATTGGGGGAGCAGGAGGAGGAGGAGCAGGGTGGGCCACCACCAGCTGAAGCGGTGGGCTTGGAGGCAGTTGGAGGCCCCCCAACACCACTTTGCTCCAGGCCTTTCCCAGCCCTGGTTCCCAGCATCCCTGACACACGCAGTGCAGCCCAGTCGTCCGGCAGTCGCTCTCTCGCTGCCCTTTAACAGTAGTGGCCCCTCCGCCAGCCGGGAGCCTCCAAATGCATCGGACGACAGCACCTAGCATCCGCCAGAGTAGTCCTGACCCACTCCTCGTCTTGTTAATGCTGAAGGACTCCGAGACAATTTAAGAACTGAGATAGAACTCCAGCTACTTGTGCACTCATTCCAAAAATCCTAGCAATTGGGAAGGAGATGGTCCCTCGGGGAGTTGTGGGCACGCACCCTTGGCTTGAAAACCTACTTGGCTGTGAAGGGACCCATTTGAGAATGTCTCTGGGTTCCTCCATAAGCTTGCAGACAGCAGACTAGAAAAGACTGTTGATGGGGGAAAGTTGGGCGATGTGGGCCTTTTGTCTTCCTGCCAATGCATAGGATTGTACCTGCAAGGTTTTCTTTGAAGAATAAATTCCAGCACTCAGGGTTGAGAATGAAAACCTGAAAAGGTGTGGATGGTTTGCATTTTTGCAAGCTGCTTGGTGTTAGGAGAAGAGGCCTTAAAGGGAGTCGGGGGAGAACCTTGTGGCCTTTCAGATCTTGGGCTCAGACTCCCATCGGCCCCAGCCAATATGGCCTCTGGGTGTAGTCCTCCAGCAACCAGGATACCTGCAGGCTTCCTTCCCCTGCTTCCAGTCTTGAAAGGGCTTCTCGGTCTCTTCCCTGGGAGGTGTGGGCACCTGAAGCTGAAGCCGTGGAGCAGAGGCCGGACAGGGAGCCCCACCCTTAAGCCCAGGTGGACAGAAGCCGGGGCTTAAAGGGTTTAGAAGTCAGAGAACAAGTGCTGCCATCTTGTCCCCTTCCTCCTCAAACAAGGCCAGATGAAATATCAGCAAGAGTTGCACCATGGATCCCCGTTTTTGGACAATTCTGCTGTCAAAAGTTGGAGCAATTTGCATATGAAGGTTCTAGATGTTAGGCTCACATTTTCAGGCTAGATTTTTTTTAAAAAAATATCCCGGCAGTTGAAATGGGAGCCTCTTCTCTTCCATCACGTGAAAGGAACAACTTTCATGTTGTGTGGCAGATGGTTGTGTGAGAAAGTGCTTTAAATGGCAGAGAGAGAGAGAGAGAGAGAGAGAGAGAGAGAGAGAGAGAGAGAGTTGTAATCTAAGAGTGATGACGCAGGGGTGCAGCTAACACAGGGACCATGCTGGAGGTATTCCCACTATGAAAAGGCTTGATGTTCGAGTCTGAACTGGCCTTCTGTAACTTGGAGCCCTCCAGATGGGTTGGGCGAAGACTCCCATAATCTCCAGTCATTGGCCGTGTTGGATGGGAATGATGGGAGAAGATCCTTCCCATACAGCCTTGGAGGGCCCCGGGTGGCAGGAGACTGATTTAATGCAAGCAGGATCTCTTGATCTGAGCAGGATCTCTTGCTATGAAGCTCCTTAGCCTGGTGGTTAATCTGGGCCTGCCTTCTGGGGGTTTCGATTTCCTTGTACCAGATTGCTATCAAAAACATAAAGTGGACTTCTCCAACTTCGTGCCTTCCAGATGTTTTGGGCGACAATGCCTTTACACCTCAGAGATCAAGGGGCTGTGACGGGGTTGCGAGAGCTGGCCAACACTTTGGGAAGCTGCCAGGTTGGAGCGAATGGCGTGGGTGCAGAGCTAGGCCCTTGGACGGAAAGGGCTTCTGCACTACCAGAGCAGTGCAACGGTTTTTCTTGCCTTTCTGTTTTGGCTTTGACTCCCTTGCTCAGAGCCGG